AAAACCCTAATGTCCACATACTGTCGAGTCTGTCGTCGTCTCCATGGAACAACATCGACATAAATATGCAACAACCCTGCCGATAGAGCGTCCAGGCTGTACAGCCACGCGAAAAACAAAACAAAACTAATGAAAAAAAAAAAAAACCCACGGACGTCGTCATCTCCCACCAGAGTGCGCGCGGCCTCTCCCGGAGGACGGGTGGCCATGCGGTCCTCCCCGGCGCCCTCCTCTCCCTCCGGCACCTGTGCCCCGTGCCCCGCTGACGTATGCCGCATGTGCTGCAGCGGCCGCCGCGGCCACGTGTGCCCTGTGTCTGCGGGCCGCAGTCTCGATCGACTCTGACTCAGTGTCTGCGTCCTCGTCCTCCTCCGCCTCTCTCTCCCTCTGAATCGCATCCAATGCTGCCTGCCCAGCGGCGACCCCTGCAGCGAGTCGAGCCTCAACCTCCGAGAGGCCATGCTGTCGTCTCGTTCCGGGACGCATCAACAACCCCTCATCGCCCGATGTGAACTGCACTCCCCGCAGCCTGTCCGTGGATGTCCCTGGGGCCTCGAGGACCAATGATCTCCTCGTCTCCGCTCGTGACAAACCAAGCATGCGGCCTGCCATCTGCAGGCTCGGACGTCCGGAATCACCCTCCACAGCCTGCGTCTGAACAGGTGTACGTCCCGTGAAGACGCCCCTCCCGGCGTCGTAATCCGCCCGCAACCGGTCCCCGACCCCACGAACAGCTGCCCATCCGCCACCCACACCTCCTCGGACTGGCGGCGGGGAACCGCCACTGTGCGCAACTCCGGGTGCCACCGTCCGGTCCCCGGTGTCGACCCTGGCCTCCGGAGTCCGTGCGGGCGGTGGAGGCATCAATCCTGCACTATCTCTGCCGCCGACGCTGGGTCTGCCGGACCCCACCTCACCCGCACCGGACTCGCTCCCTCTAACGCCGCTGAGCGACGAACCCGACCAGTGAGGGCTCTGCACTGTGAACGGTGGCGGTGAATATACCCTCCCAGGGGCCCTCTGCTTGCCGCTCTTGCGGCTCACGTGTGCGAAAGGGTCATCCATCAACGCATGCGCCAAAGCGTCGACGTCGAAGAAAGTGTGCGCTGTGTCGTCAGGGCGCAAGGGAGGCACTGTTGGGTCCCTCAACACCAAGGCGAGCCTATACGGATCATCCTCGGGACCGTGGTCGTCGTCATCGTCGCCGTCCGGTCCATCATCTCCACCGACACCCGCGGTATCCCCATCTCCACCGGGTCCACCCTCTCTTCTGCCGCACACTGTGGCACCCTGTTCCTCATCACCCGCGGTCTCGCTGTCGCCACGGCCCATAACAACATCCTGCCCCTCAGGGACACTAGGGGACCCACCGCCCATGACAACATCCTGCCCCTCAGGGACACCCGCGGTCTCCTCGTTGCCGCGCCGTCCACCATCTGACCCACCACCCGCGGCGGCATCCTGCCCCTCATAATCGAACTCCCCTTGAACCGCCTCTTCAGGGACACCCGAGTCATCGACGTCACGGCTTCCCCCCCCTCCTTTCTCCAAGTCCCTCTGCCAACGCTGCTCGTTGAGATACGCGAACCAACTCTCCCACTGTGGCAAACTCCTCAGCTGCTCCTCCTCCTCTCAGTCCAAATGGGCATCCCTCTCCTCCTTAGTCTCAACAGGGCCCCGCTCAACGTCCGCGTCTGTGCGCACCTCCTGCGGTGAGGCACGTCGACGTCCCTCGACACTGAAATCTCCCAAGCTCCCGCCAAGCCCTACGACGTCGAAGTCCTGTGTGCGGAGCAACGACGGCGAGCGGGGGCGGATACCGGCGTATGAAGGAGTCCTCTCCCCCCCACGATCCTCGCCGTCATGTGTCCGATCTCTGCCTGCTGCCGACGCCAACCTCTCCGAACGCCTAAGTGCCTCGGGGTGTGCAGAGATCGGATGATGGGAGGGAGAGAAGCGACGATCTCGAAGGGGCACCTCCTCATCCTCGGCCTCCCCTCGGCCTCGCTGTCACTCCTAACCTCCCAACGCCTGCCTGTTTGCCGAAGACCTCCCCGTGGCTGCTGCTCCCCCGAGTCGTCCACGCGAACCTCCGCATGCGAACGTCCTCCACGACCACCGCTGTCTCTGCTGCTGCCACTCGCCGGCGCGGTCGACGGCACATCACCAGTGATAACTGATGTGAACGAATCCATGTCGTCACGACCCCTACCGTAAGTGAAGTACACTCGCTCAGCCGTCGGGTCGCGACTCAGCGGCGTGTCATCATCTTCAGTCCAGTCGTCGTCGATGCCGTCGTCTGCCGCAGCAGCGTCCACATCATCCCCACCCTCTGGCCACGGTCACAGCTCCGTCGCTCTGCTGTCGAACACGTCCCGAACCGAACGGGCTCTGGACGGTCAGCTGTCACGGAAAGCGACAATCTGCAGCTGGATCTCCTGCTCAAGAACACTGCCACCAGGTTGCGCTCCCCACACCTCGGGCTCCACATCTCCCTCCTCCTCCTCCTCCTCTGCCGCCGTCCCCCCCCGACCGGTCCCCATAACCCATGGCAACACGTAGCCACCACCCTGCCGTGCGCATGAGGCCAGTTTGAGATTGGTGGCAATCTCAACCAGTTGTGCAAGCTTGGCGAACCCAAGCTTGCAGCGCCTCGCCGTGCTGACGCGCTCGTGCTCCGCCCAGTTCCTCTCCGCTAGAGAGGCAGACGTCCACAAGTGCATGACACGGATGGCGATGATGCGCAACTCCGGGTGGGCACGTCCATGCTCAAACCACCACGCTGCACATCGCTCGGTCTCGCTGTCCCCCCTGCAATCGGCCGCCTCGGCATCGGAGAGGTCACGATCTCCCCGAACCCCTCGCCTCGAGTGGAACGCCCTCATCTGGTCCCTTAGGCTCCTGTACAATAAGCCGACCGGATCGTTGCTGGTCTGCGCTAGGAGAAATCTGTCGCACTCCTCGACCACACGATGGTCGTCGGCGGTCGTCTGCAGCGAATGGTAATACGTGAGGGACCTTCGACGAGGGTTGAGGAGGTCGGCCGCGACATGTGCGGGCTCTAGCATGTGGAGGTTGTGGATGGCAACCTCACGCACGCACGGCTGGATCATGTCCTCCGGCACGTCCACCCTCCTCATCAACTGCAGCAGATGCTGACTCCACTCGTAAACGACGGACATCATCATCCCATCTCTATCCATCCTGCGCAACAGCTGGTGGACGGGCGACATGACTAGGATGACGTAGTGGACACGCTGCCAAAACTCCCCCTCCCGGATCTGCTGCTGCACCCACTGCGCCTGAGATACGTGGGCACGATCCCACGGGATGCGTGCCCAAGCATCCCCGTGCAACATGCTCTCCAACGCGTCTCGTCGGCCTTTGAGACACGTCAGCATCAGGAAAACCGATGCAAACCGTGTCTCAACGGGCTCGACGAGCTGAACGCGAGGGCTCACCTTCCTAAATAGGGTGTGAGCAGCGCCGTGCGATTTATTAAATCGCACAAGCGCTCGAGCGCGGATGATGGTCTCCTTGACCCACACCACTCGCGTCCCGATATCTGACAACATCAAGTTACAGACATGGGTGGAGCAGGGGAGCCAAGTGATCCTCCTGATGTCAGGCTCGGGGTCTGTGGCGAACCTGTGCGCTGCCGCCGTATAGTTACTGGCGGAGTCTGTGCAGAAGCCGATCATGTCCTTTGCAGGAAAGGACAAGATGATGGCCCGCCACCTACGGTACACGACGTCGACTGTGTCTCGGACCAACCCGTCATGTGCGACGGTGGCGTACAGCAGGGCGCCATTGGCACCCCCGGCGAGGAAGTTCACGAGTGGCTTGCCGCTGCGTGAGTTCCTCCCATCAGAAAGGATAGTGGCACCGCTGTGCCGGAAAGTGGCGCGCACCTCGCTCACCATCGTCGCCACCTTCGCCCTCTGCGAAGGGATACTGGCGCCCGCTGTAACCCTGTAGGAGGGAAACCGGAACTGGATAGAGCGAGGCACTCTCTCTGCTGCCTGCCGCACCCTCTGGAACTTCGGACCACGGAAGGCGTTGAATGGCAACTTCTTCACGTAGATCCAATGAAGCCACGTGTCTGTGAACTCGGCTAACTTCTCCCTGGCATACATCTCGTCAATCGTGGTCTGCCGAACCCTCTTCTCCCTGCCCGTGTCTCGCACCTCGACGCCAGCCTGCCCCACTGTCCTCTTCTCCCTCCTCACGCGGTCCAACTCAGGTCGCGGCGCCCTAGGAGCAGGACCCGCTCGACCAACACCTCTTGACGTCATCGGCACCTCCTCCCCTGGCAGATCAGGCTCTCTGACTGCCTCGTTTGCCTCGTCTGCCACCCTCCCCTCCCTGGCCCCACCCTCGCGGCCCTCCTCCTCATCGAGGGTGTCCAGAATGTCGTCCCTCTCTGCGTCGTCCATCCGCTGTCTCTGGCCACCCGCGGGTGCTCTCGTGTCCCGTATGCCCTTGTCTACCATCCACCTCTGCACCTGCTGAGCAGTGGACGACACAAATGTGTAGTCCGTGTCGTTCCAGAGTTCCGCGAGAACTCTCATCCCCCCAGCCTTGCAGAACTTCGACTGCGTGAAATGACGCGCGGCCTTCGACGACCCACCCTGAAACAGGTGGCCGCATAAGTTGCAACGCAACTTTCGGTCCCCGTGCATCTTGGACTGGGTCCCCGACGTACTGGCCCGCGGTGACGAAGTTCCAAACAATGTTCCCTCGCCTTAACTTCGCCATCTCCTTCTTTGACAGCGGGTTGAATTGGGCACCCCCAAACCCCCCCGCACCGCTGCTCCCTGCACCCCCCGTCATCGCCCCCCCACCAGGATCCTACAAGTCGTGGCCTCGATCTTGGATGTCGTCTGACCATGCCGCACCGTCGATGTAGCGTCCCCTCGATGTCGCCAAATCCTGACGTCCCCGCCGCTCCTGCCGCCGCGTCCCCTTGATGTCGCGCAAGCCCACGGTACACTAGCACCCCGGCCGACCGCCCAGCCGCGCGCCATGGATGTGGGCAGCCTTGCCCGGCCGCCCTCGGCCGTGATCGACCTCGATCGGCCACGGTCGTCCATGCCCGGACGCGTTCGGCCGTGTTCGGCCGTGCCCGGCCGCGGCCGGGCACTAAAATGGCCGCGCGCTGGAAACGACGCGCGCAGTGATGGCGACGGCCGTGCGGCGGCCGGTGGGCAGTGCGGGGCCGCTATCCCGCGTGCTTGCGCGGCGCGCGTCGCTGCAGGGTGCGCAGGAAGAAGAAGAAGAAGAAGAAGAAGAAGATCTCTCTCTCTCTCTCTCTCTCTCTCTCTCTCTCTCTCTCTCAGGAGTCTCTCTCTCTCTCTCTCTCTCTCTCCCTCTCTCTCTCTCTCTCTCTC